TAGTCTTCTTGATTTAAATTAGTTTGAATTACTATATTTGAGGGACCTGTAAGTCATGAATATAGCCTGGTACTGGCTGGTCTAATAAGTACTATGCTTGGTAAAAAATTAGTAATTCTGAGAAAAAAAAAAAACAACGAATCTAAGTGAGATTTTAGAAAATATTTTTGACTAGGAAAAGTTGAGGATATTACTGCAATCGATCTGAAATTTTAAAGACAACTTCTTTGAAAAATTCTACATCTTTTCTACTAAGCTTATCTTAGTAAGAAAATGTCATCCTGATTCGTAAATCAAGCAACAGTCTTTTTTTTGCTTCTATAAAAAGAGACTTTAAAGAAGGATTAACGAAAGAAAAGAAATGTTTTACATTTCTTAAAATCAATATAGAAAATTATCTACTAGACCAATTTTAACATTTCAACTATCATTTAAAGCATTGGACTCTGTTTTACAACTTTACTTAAGAGCTCAAAACATGAAAATTTAGTATCAAACTGATTTTCAAAACAATTTTAAAGATAATTTTAGAACAATTTACTGTATCATATAGACAGGAAACTTTGAAAATTTTTATAATCTGAATTAGATTATGTTATCTATAGAATTCTCATTTCTTTTAGGTTCTATTATATTCTGAGATACTAAAAGAGATGACTTTTAAACATTATTTATATTACAATTATTTTTATATCCCTTTATTAAAACAAAAAAATTTACATCTTTCTTTGACTTCGACTACTTTTTTCAACCCTATCATCTAACTCAAATTGTCTCCAATTCTCTCATCCCTCATTTGAACCAATCTCTTCTTCATTTTTTTATATCACTACCATCTTTTCTTTTCTCTTATTACTACTCTTATTCTTATAATAATTCAAATCTAAAACATCACAATTCTTCTATTCTATTTCTTTATTAAATTCATCTTCTTCATTTCTATTTAATGAATTATATTATTATTATTTAATTATTATATTATTAATATTAGATTTTATTATCTTTCTTCTTTATCTGAATCTCTTATTGTCATCGAACTATTTAAAATATTTTCTTCTTCATTGATTACTTCTTCTTCTTTTTCTTTCATTACTTCTTCTTTTTCTTTTCTTATTTCTTTATTCATATAATTCATCTTTTCTTTTTTTCATTCTTGTTTTTCTTTAGTCTATTTCAACTCTTCTTTCTCGATTCTATTTTTCAAACTCAACTTTTCATTTTCTAATTTTTTTCTTTCTTTATTCCATTTCAACTTTTCTATTTTAATCTTATTTTTCTATTCATCTCTCTTAATTACCAACTTCATCTTTTTATCTTGAACACCTCGATACTTCAACCTCATACACTCTACCTATTTATGACTAAAAAATGTCCTACTTATCCCCTTATCAAACTGCTCTATTTCTTTAATCTGCTTATATAATTCCTCATACTTCTTTCTTCACTTTTCATACTTCTTACTAATAAATAAATCTCCATCTTCTTCCTTCTCCTTTTTCAACAAATTTTTAATTACTTCTCCATGTTTCATTTCTCTTTCCTAATACATTCTTCTCTATTCATTCTGACTATTTTCTGCAATCTTCATTTTATGCTCCAACTTATTATTTTTCTCCTTCAAATACTTAATCCATTCATCTCCTATAATAATAATCTTATTAATATTATAAAAAGATTATTTTCTATAAAAATTATCAAATATTATTACATCTTATCTCTATTTCTTTCGTCTCTATTATAATATTATTATTATTTAGAATTATTATTATTATTTTAAATCTTATTATTATTTCTTATATATTTATATCTTTTTCTTCTTATTTCTTTTTTTGACACACTCTTTTTAAAGTTCTTAGTTCAATATTTCGTTTTCTTCTTTTTAGACTTTAATTTTTTTTTATAATTAGAAAAATTTTTATTTAGTCCTTATATAGGCTAGGTGCTGAGAAAAAAAACAAAATTGATATTTTTTTCGAAAGCTGTTTTTTTGTATAAATCATTTTAAAATAAGATTAAGATCATTTTTCATTTAAAACTTAAAAATAGTTGTGTTAATAAAATTTTATAATATAGTTTCTTAAAGTTTGCATTTTTTTATGATTTATTATAAGATTTACAACATAAAAATTGATTTTTTGAAGATCTTTTTTTTTGTCAATTTCGTCCCTTTTCTCAGCACATAGCCTATATTACACTAAACCTTATTTACAAATTACATGAAACTTTGAAATACTATTGGACAATCACTTAACAACAATTGATCTTCAAAAACTGTACGATAAACAAAATTAGTAAGATATACTATTATAATAAAATAGATAAGGCGAGTGTATGACTGTTGCATGGTCATATATTCGAATCCAGCTAATAGATGTGTTAACTCTGTCTGAAAATGTTTATGATAACAGCATTAGCCTATAATAGTATAAGTAATATTTTATACTTTTATATTACAAATATTTTATTTAATTATAATACTTATTTTTTTTTTTAGAATATTTATTTTTATTAGTTAGATTTTGAAACTTATATTTATTATAAAACAAAAAAAAAATAGACAAAAACAACAAAAAAAAAGATAAAACCAAAATAACAAAAAAAACTATATATATATACATAACAAATTAGAAACCAATACTTAACATTCTATCTCTATTATTATTATCTCCATCCCTTCTTCTTTCTTCAGGCCTTAATCTTCTCAACTCCTTCTCATTATTTACCAACTGAGTTCTCAATCTATTTCTTTCTTCCAACAACCGATTATACCTCTGTTCTAATATTCAACCATTGTGCATCCTTGTAACCACATTCACTCTCAACTCTTCTAACTCTATCTTCAAACTTTCTATTCTTCTTCTTAATGATGTCACCAATCGATTCAAACTATAAACAAGTTTGTTAAGTAACAAAAAAAAAAAAAGAGAAGAAACAAGAAAAGTTTTAAAGACAATATGCACCACTCATTCTCAACTTGAACTACCTCCAAAGTCCCATATAAGGCATTGTTATTATTTTGATGAGCATGATAAACATTTCTGAAAAGATTTTAGTAAGGCATGATTATGATTATTATTATTATTATTGTTATTATTGTTGATGTTGTTGAGATTGTTGTTGAAAATCTTACAAAAAAAAAAAAAGAGGAGTAACAAAAGGATTATAATTTTTAATGAACAATAATGACACAAAATTAGATACCAATAAGAAGTTAATCTACCAAATTTGGAAATCAATTAGAAATTGATTTAACAAATTTAGAATGACAAAGATTTGTATATCACATAATTACAAATCACATAGAATTTTAGAATCTTATTGAATACTTTATATACCCTAATGATCTCCAAAAAGGGTACAGATTTGAAATTTTGTAATATTTCTAGTATAGATTAACAGTCTAAGGCATATTACCAGACTGTATAGGTTGTACATTTGAGACTAGCTAGGGTGAGCTTTCAGTCAAGAACCTAGGCATTGTAAGACCCTTAGTTGAAGTACTAGAAATAGAATTTTTTTTTTCTCTTCAAATGCTTATATTTATTTTTTCATTTTATTTAGTTAGATATTAATACTTTATATTATATATTTATATCATATACTTATTTTTATTTTTATTCTCAAAAAAAAAAAAAAATTTTTTTTCTTTTCTCTTTATTATTATTTATCTTCAAAATAACAACTGTTATAGAAATATTCTTGCAAAAATTAACTGAAACAGAACTAGCTGATGTTATTGTCAAACCTTCTCTTTATGATTATAAGTATAAAATTAGAACAAAAGTTCATCTAACTTATCAAGCTCTAAAAAATATGACTAGTCTAAGAAACCATGATGATAGCTGTTTGAAAACTCTTACCTATGCCTACTATTTAGAAGAACTTTTAGAAACCAAACCAAAAACTCCAGCCCAATAAACAGTATTGGCAAACAGGTTAACCAAGCATTATGAAATAGCCTCAACAAGAGTTTATAAAATCGTCTCTTGATATGAAATAGAAGCCATCTACAGGACTAAATTCTTGAACTTAATAAGCTTTAAGAAATTAACTTCTACTGACCTTGTCTTTCTTTGCTAAGTTCTCATAGAATTTGAAAATAAGTTTGAAAGAATGTTAACTTACAAAAATTACTATAACTCTTAAAGCACTAAACAAAATCTGATAAAACTATTACTATTCGAATCAGCTCACTAAGATGGTTCTAATAAGATATAGATTATCCATTTCTGATCACAGGATCACAAGATCGAATCTAATAACCAAATTAATAAGAAAGCTTTAATCTGATTGGTTGAATAATAACTGCATGAAATATAATACATATAACATATATAACATTTATGCATTTTGAACCATCTATATTTTATATTATATTTAGTTTATATATATTATTTGTTTATTTGTTGATATATTTTATATATCAAACATATTTTATTTATTTTATTAATAGTAGTTGTAAAATATCTTGTATATCTAAAGATATAGGCTGTTATATTTACTATATAGCCAAAAAGTATAAAAGCAGCAGATATGAACCCCAAGTTCAATATTAAGTCTTTATACTCTTTTACTAATAAACTACTAGTTTATACTACCCAAATTAAACAGTTATTAGTATTCTAATATACTTTTAATTGTAACCTCTTTTGTAATTGTAAATTGCTTTAAATCTTCTTTGTTAAGTTTTCTAAAATAAAATGCCTTTTGACTTAGTTATAACATAGTAACAAGTAAGGTTACAAAAAGTGTTCACTGTCTAAGGTTGCTCTAGTTATCTACTATCTTAAAAGAAGTAAATATAGGATAACAATATGAAATGAGAGAAAAGATTATCCAGATATACATTATTATTTTGCATCTGTGAAAGAGGTAAAGCAATTTGCAATAATATTCTCTACTCACTCTGTAATTATCTCTTAAGATAATAAGGCCATGATTCCTCTTGGCATTACCGCTATTGGAAAAACTTTTCATGCTGTTCAGAATCTTAAAGAACCCATTATGTTGCCAGATCATGATTTTCCAATTGCCATACATTATAAACTAATTCTGTCAATTTATATGCTTATGAATCCAAAGAACAATAACAATACTTTATATAATAGGCAACTTGCAATCTTTATTCATTCTCAATACCATGGTGGTACAAGCTCAGCTTCACATATAGAAGATTTAAAATCATTAACTCAGAATAATCTTCTCAATAAAATATTAAAACTTGAGAATACTATCAAACCAATCTGGATTCTTTTAGTAGATGGAGGTCTAGATGAGAACCCATGACACATAAAGAACATTATTCAATATAGTAAAATGTTCAGTGCATTTGATTTAGATTATTTAACAGTTCAAACACATGCACCCTATTATTTAACCTACAATCCTGCTGAATGTGGTCTGTTTGATGATATCTTAATAATAATCATTATATCGATAAGTTAATAAATTATTTAAAGATATATACAGTCTAGACTTCAATATAATTGATATAGTTACAAGTTGTAAAAAAAATTTTTACCAATTATCTTAGTTATTATAGAGAATAGGCTAAAGTACCCAGCATGACAAATAGAGCTAATCAATTTTTAAAGTGCTATTTATATATGCATGTAATATATAATTCATAGGTTTTTTTATATAACTAACAAAAAAATTACATCAATGAGGTATTTTAGTTCACACTATATAATTTATTGAATTTTGGTTACCAATATTACTAACTGATAATTATATTGAAGTCTAACTGTAATAACTAATTAATTAGAATTTTTGCTACCAAAAAGTTCTTTATAGACTATGATTTGCATAGTTCTAAAGAACCATTTTATTAATATCTTTAATTTATAAAATTTTTTGATTAATATCTTTAAATATGTCAACACTTTCACAGAAGCTTGCAGAAATTGTTTTGCCAGCTGATAAATATGGTTCTTATCTAAATTTTCAAGGTGAAATGATTGATTAAGAGCTTACTAAAAAAAATTTTAAATATGCAGGTGAAGTCTTATATGATCTATGTAGTCAGGATCCAATTTTTGAACAACAAGTTATAACAAAGTATATAGACCAAAGTGCCTCTTCATTTGATCTTATTACATTTCCAGAATCTAATGATAATAATACTGATAAACCTACTTAGAGGTAGCTAGAAAACTATACTAAAATATGTTAATATTCTATTGACATTAAAAAATGCAATGACACTCAGTAATGTATACCTAAATGTTGTAAAGTTGCAGCTGATCTTCTTGCAGTAAATGATGGCTTTCTTCCTCTAGTCATAAAAGGAAATAATAGACATTATTTAAATTCACTTCACATATTGGAGTTTTATATTATTGACAAATTACCTGGTTATGACATGCACTGTCCCTCCTTAATAAATTATAGTAATCTTTGTTACTCAATCTGGATGCATATTTCTCAACAAGTTCAATAGTTACTTAACATACGTATGAGAAATTAACATCCAAAATGATGGTGATGACTATCTAAAAAATAATTAGTTGTTTTTTACCTCTGCTAAAGTATTCATATCTGCCAATTTGAGTATAAATAAATATTATATTATTCATTTTTTTGCCTGCAACTTTTTTTGTAATAGTTAATATAATTTTTTATTCTTTTTATTTCTATTTGAGAATTCTCGTTATATCTCTCAAAATTTTGTAATGCCATAATTGAGCTCAGCTAATTCAAAGTTTCTCTTCTATGGTATGTTACCAGCTGTTATAGTATAGTATCAGTATCCATTTTTGTGTTTTTATAAAAATAGAAAAGATCAACAAAATCGATAAAATCAGTAAATTAGTTAAAATCAGGTAAAATAGTTCAGAAAAAAAAAATAAAAACTTTAAAAGTAATATTAAAAGTATCCATTAATCATTTACCTTTAAACATTATCTAAGTTCATATCTTGCTATTTACTCTTGTCCTTATGACTATCATAAACACTATTTTTTTATTGAATAAGAGAAAAAAAGTATATTTATTAGTAATTAGGCCCTTATATATATAAAAATATAACTCTGATTAAGTTGGTGATTAGACCCATTATTCTATAATACATACATAATTCGAATTTGATCATGATCCAGAAACACATGACCTGAAATAAGTAGTATACCTGTAATAAGAAAAGATATAGTAATAGTATTAGTACCTGACCAACATATTAAGTATAAGAACTATATATAGAGGGTAAAAGAGATACTTATCCAAGTTCTGG